GTGAGTCCTCCTACTTTATTCTTCTTCTTCAGTAGTGCTTTACTTATCCGGCGCTTCTTCCCTTTCCATATAAAGTTAATGATTAGTTTTTCCATCTCTTCAAAGAATGTTGTTGGTATTTGGATCGGGATTGCATTGTATTTGTAAATTGCTGCAACCATTTTTGAATTATCTTCAGCAAAATTTTACTTGGGCTAATAGTTGAGCATATATATATATGTCTTAGTGTTCTTTAATGCAGAATTGGCCCCAGCTATTGGACTGGAAGATATTAATTATCTAGGATATTATTTGATTTTATTGATATTTGACCCATCCTGCTTCCTCTTTCCCAGAAAGTTTGTGCTTGGAATTTTCATTTGAAATGTAATTGTCCACTTGTCCATTTAACTCTGTAATAGCAGTTATTTGCCTGGTGAACCTTAGAATTAAACCACCATGACTTGACCCAAAACCAATGGCACTTATTCTCCATAAGCTTTTGATAGTACTGTGAAATGTGGGAAAAATAGGTAATATTAACAGAGGAACGAAGTCTGAAAAATGTTAAGTGATATTGTGTTCATTTTTTAAGAATATGTTCTAAAGTGCTGAGGTCGTGAAAACAGAATGCAACAGAATGAAAACAATGTTTCCTGACAAAGCTGTTCCCTTGGTGACACAGTGTCCTTAAGCAGTTCTCTAGTGGAAGCCTCTAGGCCAACCTCCATTACTGTGAGCTTCTGTCTCCTGTGTGGTGAGATTGGTCTCTGTAGAGGGCAATGGAGGATTTCTGAAGGATTCGTGTCCTTTGAAATCCCAGGGTGGTGCAAATGGCTAATGCGTTCAGCTGCTCACAGAAAGGTTGGAGGTTCAAGTCCACCCAGAGGTGCCTCAGAAGAGTGGCTTGGTGATCTACTTCGGAAAAACCAGCCATTGAAAACCCTGTGGAGCACAGTTCTGCACTGACACACATAGGGCCACCAAGAGTTGGAATCGACTTGATGGTAACTGGTTGGTTCATGGCTGTAACTTCTGCCAACCCTTTGCCCCAGAGGACTCCTCTGTTATAATGGCATGGTTGAAACTCTTAAAGGAGCACATGTTATTTTTTTTCTGTTTGAGAAAAATCTAGGGACAAAACACATAAAGAAGAAGTTATAGTTGTGTGGTCTCATCCTCACCCCTTTCTGTTTGACTCAAAGTTATTTCCAGGTCCTCAAGTTTCTACAATTGCCAGCTCCTCGCAATCCAGTCCTTTGGGTTTCTGACTTTCAACTTTAGGTTAGCAATCAGTTATTAAGCACCAATGATATGCAAAACATTATGCTTGAAGGCATCATTGAGCAATAATTCTTGCTCTGGGGAGCCACAATCGGGTAGGAAATAGCTAGACATTTCAGTGAAAGCCTGGGAGTCATCAGCAAGTCCCAGGGTTTTCTGGAGGCAAGACGGGGCAGGTCATCACCCAGCCGAGGGGTCAGGCTGACACCAGATCTGCCCGTTGGGTCTGGACAAGCCCTGAATGGGGCTGAGAGCAGAGGTTCAGACCAAAGGGCAGGATGAAGATTTCAGAGTGTGGCTGGCATTGGGAAATCCAGCCAGACAAGCAATTGCTATGTGAGAAGAAGGGTCCTGGCCTCTGGACTGGGGCCTTGAGTTTCAGGGACAGGGCTGCAGTCCCTGATAAGGGGTACAGGTAAGAGCAGGAGACAGCAATCTTA